AAAATATACTTTACTGCAACCTAATTAACTGGTCTAATAGAAAAACATATTTGCTAACCGTGCAAGATGCAAAGTAAAAAATGGGTGGGGCGGCTCACTTGGCCTGGAACAAGCCACCAACGTCGGTACTTAGCTAGGGCAGTGTTGCGGTTGGTCATTCTCCGTCTTATCATTTGGTCGTTCTCCGTCTTGTCTTGCTTCTTCGTCTTGATTCTTGGTTTCTTCCGAATAACTCGAAACGAAAATTCAACATGCTATATATTTATATTCTATCTATCTATGAATTTCCTATCTAGACTTAATCTAGAAAATTCAAAAATGTAAATGAAAATATAGGCACACAATCTTCCATCGATATCTCGCTATGGGAAAAACAACTAATACGTACCAATCGCAAGGCACTAGGGTTCAATCATATAAAACGCACTAGGCCGGACTTGCCTTCAAGTAACGTTTTTATTGTGACGAATATGTTTTCGTCTCTCACATGGCGATGTATTTTCAAATATCGTCGCAACCGAATTGTAAAGAATCAGGGGCGGATCTATGTTGAGTGTGGGGCTTGCCAAGGCCCACCCTCACTCAATTTTTGTAGTGCTATTTTAATATTTTTTTAGTCTAATTACCCCATTTAATTCATTTTTAGCTCACCGTGTTGTAGTTTAAAGAGCTATAACAATTATATTTGGAAAATTTTATTTACTTATTTTGTAATGTATTTTACTAATAGCTACTACAATAAAATTCGGGGGCGCTGCCCTCGAACCACGTACAATTTGGCCCACCCTAATATCAAATCATGGCTCCGCCATTATAAACAAGGTTTTGAAATTATTTCATTAAATAAAAATTGGGCCCCCGAACTTCTTTTGCAATTGTTTTAGCGTTTTGTAACTTTTTCTCGAGGAATCGACCCAAATTGATTGGAGTTGTTTCAACGTTTTTAATAAACGTAGCATGCATGTTTGAAAGTAAAAACCCTTGCATCGTCTTTCCTCCGCCGTAACATTTTCCTCTATAATTTCGCCCTTTTTTTCCCAATTAACATAACTTTCATACCACATTAAAAGAAAAAAATGTTATAGATTGGTTACAATGTCCCTAGCAACAAAAACATACATACAATAATAGCAATATATTATAATTGTATTACATCAATATAAAATGATTCATTGTTATTGTGGAAGCAATAATATTTCAAGTAACAAAACTTCAGTGTTGTCGTTATCAAAGAGGCCTTATTGTGTATTGATTTTTCAAGAAAGAAAGTGCCTCCCACTAAACTGTGTCGGGTCTACCATTTATCAAGACAATAATTGCTTAGCCTTTTCTTCTCACCCTAAATCTTTATGAAAAGAAGAAGAAAAGCAATTTGACAGACAAAATAAGCCACAAATGATTATTCCATCAGAATATACTGCCTAATATGGACATACAAACACAGGGAATCTCTGCTGGGACTTAACTAACTTCTCCACTAATATTGCCACTAACCAACAAATCTTTAAAGAATAGGAAAAGATACCGATGATGTTAGACATAGATGATCGATCACCTTAAATAGTTGAAGTAAGATGAGCTGAAAGAGCAAACTGGATCACTGGCTCACGAGCTTGATGACCTTGAGATACCTACGATCAGAGAACACGTAAACTAAGTCGGGGTTGATTCGGCAGAAACCCCTCTGCCGCTCAAGTCAGGTATGTGGATAGCAGAAGTCGTAGATAGAATACGAGCAGTTGTATTGTTCGAATATTGTACGTACCATAACAAATAAATTGTAATCTTTATTTATACCGAGTTGGTTGGGCTGAAGTTAGTTGATTGCAATTGTCGGGCCCAAACCTTATTTGAAGGTGATTGGGCCTCGGTTGTAGTGGTCTTCAATATGGGCTTGTGGCCTAGTAAGTAAAGAAATTTTAGGTCCTTTGGATTGACCCAATTAGACATATCAGATACATAAAATGGCATAAACAAACTAATTGTCTTCTCAGTTCTCACTAGGTAAAGTCTAATAAAATACAGACTTAGAGCCCATTTAATTAAACTTATTTTAAACAGCTGATAAGCTTGTATGTCAAATAAGTTTATTTAAGAGCTGATAAGCTGATACATCTTATTTTTAAAATTAAATTTTAAAGTGTTTGGATAATGAACTAATAAACTATTTCTACTCATTATAAAATCTTAAATAAAAAAGTGGGGTAAAGAAACTTTTCAAAAAAGGTCTTATTTGCTCTCCAACAGCTTATTTTTTTAATTTTTAAGATTTTTTTAAAAAAATTACCAAACACTTTGGAAGAACTTATAAGTTCTTAAACATCTTGTAAACTATTTTTAACAGCTTATAAGTTTATTCAAACACCCTCTTAGGTGGTGTTTGCAAAAGCTCTTACAAATATATTATGAGCTTTTTTTGCTCGTAATCAATCTATTTATAAGTGTTTACAAAATCAACTTTTATTTTTGCTTCTCTTAAAATAAGCAATTTTAAGCTATAAATTTTTTAAGCGTCCACGACCCTGTTTTTTCAATTTAAGTTAATTTTCCAGCAAATTCGCAAACACCCCAACTTCTAAAAACTAACACTTAAAATTAGGGCTGTGCATGGATCGGTTTTAACCATCAACCAACCCATTTTCGACCCACAATTTATGATGGTTAATCAACCATCAACCGACCCATTTAAGTTGGGTCGATAATGTCAACCAACCCATGTATAGTTGGGTCGATAATGGTTTCTAATATGCTAAAAAGTTGGTTAGTCGGTTAATATCGGCCAACCAACTTTATTCACTAATTTATTATTTATTAATTTTAATTAAAATATTTAATATTTTTAATTTCAAAATTTATTTTTATATCACATTTATTAAATTGTTTAATATTGACCAAAATCCTAAATGTAATATATCTAACCTAATTATCTAATTTGAACTATTTTAATTTTAAGACATATAGTCTAAATATTTAGACGATTATTATCTGTTGAACTATTTATGTTTAATTGCAATATATATGCCCGTAATGTTTTGAATCTTTTATTTGAATATTATTGAACGAGTCGCATTTAATTTATAAAAGATATAGCGTTGTAATAAGTAATAAAATATTAAAAAATATTAAAAAATATTTAGATGGATGACCCATCAACCAAACCACCAACCAACCCATTAAATTGGTTTTCAACCATCATCCAACCCATGTAAATTGGGTCGATAACGGTTTCCAATATTTATCAAAGTTGGTTGGATGGGTTGGGTTGGTTTTATGGCTGGTTTTTAACCAAACCAACCAACGCACAGCCCTACTTAAAATTAACTTAACTCCCAATGTATAACTTCTGTTTTAAATATTTTTTTTTGCAAACACCACCTTAGTCAAACATATGTGCTCAATGTTGTAAATTTAACATTCCACACACACTCCTACACGACAATGTTATCGATTAATTAAAATTAGTCAATTACACTTTTTCTAGGCGATATTTGATATACACCTCTAATATGAAAATTATAAAGGACTAGATTCATTCCTAAAATTCTTTCTTTTTGAAATACCCCTGGAGAGGCAAGCACTATTGTGCCCTGCAAGTTTTTTTAATTAATTCAAATTTTGATAATTTACTGTACTGAAATCGATACACATGACTATAGTATATTACAAGTTCTATAGTCACGTATGTTTATATATAGTCAGGTATAGTTATATGTAGTCATGTACTGTCTTTGTAACCAACAAAATCATCTACACCAACAACACAATTCACATTTTGGATCTTGATATTATAAATTATCTAACCAACAAAAAATGGAAAAATACAATCACATGCATGTATTCTTCAAACATGAACAAGCATTATTGTGCATTAAAAAACACAGCATACATATAAATATATGTTACTACATGTGACTATGGTTATCTAAAATTATCTATAGTTTTATATAGTGACATAGAGCCTAGACAACTGTAGCATGAATCCAACTTTACAAGGCACTTCTCTGCATCTTATTCTCTTCATCTCATAAAGTGATACAAATATCAAAACTTGTGAGATAAAATACGAGTTAAAGAAATGGAACATGCGAATTACATCACTTGAAAACAAAAATAACAATTATCATAGATCTATATGATCCTATATGTCACTATATATGACTATAGTTGTATAGTTATGTATAGATATATATTGACTAGACTCCTGTAGTCCTACTGCACCAGCAACACAGCACAACACACAACAAAACATGCTACAAACAAACAAACAATATGAATGCCTATAAATGCAGTAAAATATAAACAAATCAAATCAACAAATATGTATCCAAATTTGGCCATCAAAACCGAAAAATAAAGAGATGTTACAACAATATACCTTTTCTTCCCTCTTCTCTTACAGAGATACCAGCATTTATCACATTTTCATTACACATAATTAAATTAATATGTTACTAAAACCAATAATGCAGCCACAAAAATGTTTGATAAAAAATCAGTCAAACTAATCAAAGAGGTGGAAAAAAATTCATAGAAACAGAGTTTGACGATTTTTTTTTTTTTTGGAAAAAACGAATCTTCGGATGAAATTTAGATGTGAAAGAGGTATCACATGAGCGTATATTCGTGCATAAGAAGCAGCCTTGCGAGAGATATAGAGTGTTTGTCTGCGGCCTAGGGTTTGGATCGGAGGAAAGGATGCCACTGCTCTACCCCTCATCGTCCCCTTGCGTCTACGGAATCAAATCTGCTCTGCTTGTCCGAGGATTGAAGAAAGTGATTAACTGAGTGGAGGAAGAGAGTTGTTGCAAAAATTTCCATGGAGAACAGGAAAAACAGAATAGCGATAGAGAGGAATGGAGACGGAAGTTCAAGTGTGTAGGATTAGATCGTTTATAAGACGGGCAAAATAGGGAATCCATATACCCCAGGGGTGTAGCAAATTAATATTAGAATTCAGGTTTTTGGTTAGGACGGAAACTAACATTGGACCTCCTCATATATATTTTCAGAAATAGGGGTATCACCCATTTACCCCTTTTTTTATTAGAGAAATTACAGTTACTCACTCCCCCTTCAATATAACGTAATTACGAAGTGCTTTTGTATCGTCTTTTATACAATTACCTATTTAAAAAGGGGCAATTTGCTATACATCCATCTACTATAATTTCCTTTCAAATAAAGACAAACATATTTAGCATTTTGCTAACAGACCACCAGGCATTCCATCATTAGTAATCGGACCAAAATACCCCTCGCACCGATAAGCTGCAAGCCACCTTTGCAACTCCGCCAATCACGTCGATTGAAAACAACCGCCTTTTATATTAGAACATAAAAGCCCAACTTTCTCATGAATGTTCAATCTTCATTTTCTTCTTCTTGTTCGCTTGGTGTTTTCTCGTTTTCTTCTTCTCATCTATAGACAAAGTAACAAAGAAATCGTTATAGAGAAAGGGTCAACACAAGAATGCTTTTGTAATAATCTTGTACCTTAGCTCTGTTCTTCAAACCCATAGATTTGTTTCTTTCGGCAGTTCTGCCTGTCTCGACTTCCACTTAAAGTATCTGAAACATTTTGAGAGAACAACACAAGACAAAATCAATTTCCAAGAAAATAATTGTCTTTGTTCTAATTCCAGGCTGTGGCATAACATTATAACAGCACAAACCACACGGACTTGTTCACAAGAACCAAATATGCGCGCGCGCACACACACACGTTAGAAATAGGGCAGACGCACTAATTGCTCTGTTTCTGTGCGAATGTTTATTGGTATTTACTGTTATTTGCTTTAGGGTATATTCATTACTATATTTGTTATAGTAATTGACAAGGGTAGGTAAAAAAAGAAAACAGAAAAGCTAGATCAACACCTCAGAGAAATCAAGCTTCGCAGGAATTGTCTTGTATATGTATGATTCTTCGCAAGTTCCGGAAACTTCCAACCATACCTTTCCCTAACCCTCATTACATACGTGCACGTTTTTAGCTCTTTCGTCGAGAGGTCATCCAACAAAGCTTATGGCTTGTATTATCATAGTATCAACTTAGAGTAACAAGCAGCAAAAGTACTCAATAGAAATCAAGAAAATATGGAAAACTAATCACCAAAACAAATCCAATACGAAGCTACCAAAGAGAAAACCAACCGAGAATCCGAAAACCACCTACATAAAACCCCTTTATTACCTCAAACTGAAACTCAAACCGAAAAGCATATATCAAACAAAAAATCCTAAATGGGTTGTCTCAATTCCAACCAATGCGAGCAAAAGTCGATAAAATTCACTAAATCAAGAAACGCAAAATCACTACCTGAGAATATGGGCTTTGCATTGAAATTGGGCTTCTGAATGTTTTGCAAGTGAACTCTAACAATTCATTCTGTCTTTTAGCTGTCCTCTTTTCTATACGTAAAATTCCAACAAAGCGTTTAAGTCAATTCAACATATAAAAAAGCTGCACGGGAAAACATAAATGATTACTTCATCTTACCGATTACGATTTGCAGAGAATTTCTTCGTCCCGTTATGGAAAGTGGTCATCGTACGGGTATTCGGCTCTATTCCTTTCGACGACATCTCATCCAAAAGAGTGTCGGCCTCGTTCATATTTCCCATCTTACAATATCCCGATAAAAGCGCCGTATACGCAACTGTATCAGGTAGTATACCCCGTTCGATCATTTCATCGAAAAGCGAAACAGCAACTTCAAGATTGCCCAATTTACACCGACTGTCGATTAATGCTGTGTAGCTAATCACATCCGGTTTTAATCCCATCTCCTCCATCTCACGCCAAAGAGCCGAAGCCATCTCTTTAATTATCGTATTGTTTTTTTTGCCATTCTTTCGTGATTTAGCCATTATTTTACAACCACCATCCAGTAATACGGTATAAGTGATGATATCGGGACTAATGCCCCTTTTCTTCATATCGCCGAAAAGAGCAAGAGCTTCCTTCAGACGATTCACCTGACAATAACCGTTCAACAACATTGTGTACGTAACCAAATCTGGAGATAATCGTTTCCCTACCATATTGCAAAATACCCATTTTGCCCCTTTCATATCGCCAGCACGACAAAGGGCGGCAATAAGCTTGCTGTACATTGTCTCACTAGGGACGTCACCCCAAAAAAGCATAGCCTCGAATACCTCGATAGCACGGTTGTTTTTGCCTTCCAAGCAGAGGCAGTCGATTAGTTTCGAAGAGGTATTTCTATGTACTAAAATTCTTTGATCGAGCAGTTTACGAAAAAGTTCATATCCTTCAGTTGCCTCGCCCAATTCGCAGTAACCGTTGACCATAGAAGCCCAATTTTCTACACTCTTCTCTTCCAAATTACCGAAATAATTTTTGGCTTCCTTCGACTTTCTTGCAAAGCACAGGCCTTCAATGATAAAGCTGTGCGTCAACGCACTGGGAGTCAACCCGTGCTGTTTCATACTATCGAGAAGGTCAAATACTTTGCGCGTAAAACCATTCCGAGCGAGTCCAGAAATGAGGACATTATATGTAATAACATCAGCTTTGAGACCATCTTCAATCATTTCGTCGAATAAGTTTACAGCATCGGAAATACTTCCATGGAGACAGCAACCATTAATCAAAGTGGTGTAATGCACGGCATCTGGTACGAGATTCTTGCACTTCATCTCGTCGAACAATCTCAGAGCATCGTCCAACTCACCCATCTTGCACAATGCATCCATAGCAACATTATACGCAACTTCATCAAGAAATATGCCCGAATCGTTCAAGTTCTTAAACTGGTCGATTACTTCACTATACATACCTCTCAGACACAAGTACTGAAGAATCGGAGTGAGGATAAAACAATTGGTTTTGATACCCTTTCCCTCCATCTCAGTATGGATATTCAACGCTTTATTTATGTCGCCACAATCACAATACCCACGAACCAACGCACGGTAGTTAGCTTCGTCGGGAACAAAGCCGTTTTCTTCCATTTCACGTAAAACAATCTCCGCCCGTTCGGGTTTGCTTTCGCTAACAAATCCCTGAATCACTACAGTACACGCATAATCATCGAGAGGCGCGTTTGTGTCTTTCCACTTTCTTAAGAGCTCGTACCCTACATCCGACCTACCGTGCGCGCACAGCCCTTGAAGATAAGCCGTATACGTAAACGCATTAGGCGCCACACGAGCTTCCTCCATTTCAAGAAGCACCTTCGCAGCTTCTTCCAAATCACCATTTATACAATGCCCCTTAATCACAATCCCGTAAGTATACACGTTCGGAATCAGCTCGAGAGTCTTCTTCATATGCTCGTAGAGAGCAAAGGCAACACCCACATCCCCGTGCCCAATTAGCCTATTCAACAAGAAATTACACGAAAGCAAACACGGGCCCACACCGCGCCTTTTTGTACCGAAAAGAGTGTCAATTGCCTCGTCGAACATTCCTAAACTAACGTAACTCTTCACGAGAGCGTCGAAAGCACGAAAGAGCGAGCTTTGCCGCCCGGCGGCCTTGAACTCCTCCGCTATAGCCTCCAACAAATCCGACACCTCGAAAGAAAGATGCTCCTTTTTCGAAATTATAACATCCGTGAACAAAGAATCCAAATTTCTAACCAATCCCCAATAGCAGAGTATCTTGATAATAGCCAAGTAACATTCGATATCGTGTTGAAAACCATTTTCTTTGAGTTGGTTGAAGAAGGATAATGCAGATTTGGGTTCACACCGCATATCTGTTAGATTCTGCACAACCCTAGACGAATTGAATTCGAATGAATTATTAATACTAATACCATTGCCATTGTTAGGGTAATTTGAGAGAGTAACGTCGTTTCTAGAATGATCGATATCGGAACCCGAATCGGAGAAGTAAGGGGTGAAATGGGCGAGCGATGGAACTGCAAGTAATCGATTAAATTGGAGCTTTGTGAATAGATTATTCTTCTTCGGAGAAACTAACCTAATTGTGGAAACCAGCATGGAACAAGGATTTTGATGAAATTCCTTGAATCCCTAAGCTTTTCCGAAGAGCGAAACGTAACCCATTCAACTGGTGGGGGCGGGGGCGGCGGCGGTGGCTGGGGGCTGAGTTCGCGGTGGTCGGCAAGAGAAAGGAGGGATTTTACTGAGCGTGTCTTGCTGAATAATTTAATAAAAAAATTTAGCCAAAAGTTATGGAGTTAATTGCATATACCACCCCTATGTTATCTCTAATTGTCAAATACCCTCTATAAAAAAATAATTCACCAAAACCCCCCTGTGATAACAAAGTCATGGCATCGAGACCCCTCAAGGCGGCGTCTCGCACCACAGCCACCCACTCCTTCTTCAAATTTCTCTTCCTCGACAACGCCGGCGTCTGGAACCACCAATTTTTAGCGACATAAAGAGTTGTGTATGGGTGAAGATGGTTAAAAAAATTCTTCTGCTCGCCGCCGCCGTCGCCGCCTTTGTTGCTGAGATCGGGGCTGCCACCGGCAAAGTGAAACTGGGGAGAGAAATGTCGATGATGTGTTTAGCTGGGTGGGGATGGGGTGGGGGAGGGAGAAGAAGACTTTTTTTTTTTTTTTTTTTTATCTATATGTAATTTAAATGTAAAAGAATTAAAATTAAATTATAAAAACTTTTAATATCACAAACTAAAAAAAATGCTTATAAAATTAAAATTAATTATGTTATAAAATTTGGTAAAATTAAATTAATTACAAAGTTTTAAAAAATTAATACATAAAATATTTATAAATTAAATATACTTTACTAATTGCTGAAAAACCCCTAGGGTATTTTTGTAATTTTACTCACAGTCAACTCCTAAAAGCACAGTAGGTGCAGTGAGCTTCGAATTTGTTAACACATGGGGGTTTTAGTGAATTTTTTTTTTTTTTTTTTGACAAGGGGTATTTGACATTTAGAGATAACACATGGGTGGTATTTGCAATTAACCCAAAAGTTATGGGTATGCAGGACTTCTGTTCGATTTTTTCCTAAAACAGAATATATCGGTTTTTGTAAATTAAAAACCATATATACCGGTTTTTCATATGTTCGGCTTCGGTTCAGTTTCTGTTTTTTTTTTCCGGTTCAAAAGTAACTATATATTCAAGTTATGCAAACAAAAGAATCTAATTACAATTACTTTCACAACTAACTAATGCAATGAAAGTACAAAAATTTTAATCCTATGGGACTTAAGTAATTTAGATGATGTATTATGCTTCAGTTTTTTTTCCTACTTTTCATCAACCATATTATTAAAACCATGAACTCTGGTAAAATTTAAGTTACTAAATAAATAAAATACAATGTCTCAATTTATGAACAAATGCTTAAAATGAAGCAAGTAATTGAAAGATAGAAAGTAAAAATTAGGCTAAAATAATACATATATTATATAAAATGAAGTCATTTTATAGTTTCGGTTCGGATTTTCGGTTCGGTTATTTATCCTTTCCACCATATCGAACCGAATAATTCGGTATTTCAACAATAGAAAATCGTACATATGGTTTGCTATTCGGTACTGTTTGAAACAGGTCGGTTTTTTGATTTTTTAGTTCGGTTTTTCTACTTTTCTTGCTCACCCCCACCAAAAATAATAATAATTCAGTCAGAAAAGGAATATTATTAATATAGTTGAATATTTAATTTATTAATAATTTAAAAAGGGGTGTTAGTTTACTGATTCCCCATAGATAATCAAAATAATTGTTTGATAAAATTAAGTACAGAATACTGAATCCTGAATACACTGACAGAATGGCTAAGACCGTATCTGAATACTGAATGCTGAACTTTTAAGTTTATTTGGTAACCGAAAGTTTTATTATATGTCTGAATAGTATAATTGTACGGTATTAACCTTCAAATTATTGAACATATAAGTTTATTTACAAACAAAATAATGAATACTATTTACTTAATAACAAAATTATAACTATATATAACCCATAGAAACATAATTATAACAATAAACCTAGTAATTATTATATTAATTTAGTGAAAATAAGTACGTATAAAGTAAATTTTATTCTGAAGACTTTCATTATAAATATCAAGCATAAAGTGGTAAATTCGTTGAGAGTTGAACCAATACATACAATTAAACATAGTATATTTAAAAGGGAAAATAAAAGTAAATGATAGGAGAGCTAAGTATTGTAGGGGTGGAAATATGATGAAATGGATTGGAAACGACTGTTTTGCTAAATTTACAAATTATTTTGGAAGTAGAAATCGAGTTCCAATTTCCGTTCCAAAAAAATCGAAAATCACATTGGTTTATAATATCTTGTGTTAAATTAAGAAATAATGGAAATTTTCACAATATTTTTCTATTTTTTTTGTAATTTTGCAAGAAAATGCAAAAAAAAATCCAAAAGAGACTTCGACAAAACGCAATAAACAAAAACAAATGTAGGAACAACAAATTGAAACACTGATTTTCTTTTAAGGAAAAATGCAACATAAACTTTTGATATGAATTAATATTTTCTACGATTTTAATTTACTTGACCATTCGCTATTTATATTTTTTATATAACATATAACATAGGTTATATTTTGGGATTCCAAAATACATCATAAAATTATATTATATATTTCAAAAAACCATAAAATATTCGGAGGGTAAATTACAAATACCCCCCTGAGGTATGGTCAAATTACAAAACCCCCCTCTTGTTTGGATAATTACATCTACCCCCCTCAACTATGATTTTTTCTTACACCTCCACCCTTATGGTGCCAAATTCAACATAATCATCTAGATTCCGTGAAATTTGCTCTAGTTTGTACTCGTTTTGTGTAAAAATACAGTTTCCGATGCACCAAAAATTGATATATACAAGCTAAAAATCACATATTATGATTATCTTGCTTCGTAATGTAGAGTTTGAATGATATAAAATGGGTACAAAAGTGATAATATTCCATATGATCTCGAAGATTTCACTAAATTTGAGGAGTTGAGGGGGTGGTTGTAATTATCCAAACAAGAGGGGTGTTTTTGTAATTTGACCATACCTCAGGGGGGTGTTTGTAATTTACCCAATATTCGGAACTAAAGTCGGATCGGAAATCGGAATTTTCAATAATTTTATCTACAGTTCCAATTATGTTCCAAGTAAATACGGAAGAATCGGAAATTGGAACTTCGGAAATCGGAAATCGGAATGAAAAATACGATTCCAAATTCAGATATTTTTCGGATCGAAATTAGCAGAATTCGGAAATTTCATTCTAATTTCCACCCCTAGTGTTGCAATATCATTTTTTTGTGGGGATAAAACAGTCTAATAACCGTTCAGCATGACATCTGGATGAATAAGCTATATAGTTTAACCTGAATCGGTATGCACCTAATGACTTGATTCAAAGGTCTACAACATAAACTCTAAATAAAGAAAACACTGACTGAATCAGAAATTGATGTCAATCAGCGGCCTTTTAGAGGTATCAAACAGGCCCAATTCTCTCTCTCTCTCTCTCTCTAAAATCCATATAAAATCGTTTCCCCTCTTCCTTCTTTTTCACAAAATCCCACCTTCCAAAACCCTAGACTCCCAAATATAATCTTGTCTACAAATTTGAACTATATTGGACGTAATATTTTATTTTTCACTAATTTTATATAATTAGTTTTGTGTTTGAAGCGAATTGCAGTTGATTTGGGGTTGTTTTAAGAAAAGGAAAGACACACAACATAACTGGTTACAAGCCCCGTCCGATGCGAGATTAAAGTTAGCCGCATCCAAAGGTTGCGGGTGACAACAGGGGCGAGTCCATCCCATGGTAGGGTGGACTCCTATCCCCCTCAATTACTAATTCTTCCATTATATTATACCTATATTATTATTATTTATTCAATCCAATTTTATTATTTAGTTCATCCAATTTTTATTATTTAATCACACCTAAAATTCAAAATATGCAATAAAAAAAAAATTCATAATTTTTTTTCTCCTCCTAATTTATCCAAAAAAAAGGTAATTTTTTTTCGGGGGCGCCACCCCCGAAATTTAACCCCACCCTGTAATAAATTTCTGGACTCGCCACTAGGTGACAACATCCAAATTTGAAGCTAGGGGTTAGGCTTCAATTTTCATTTTCTTGTTTTTTGGTTTTTTTTTTTTTGTTTTTTGGGTAAATTACACCCACACCCCTGAGGTAAGCTTAAATAACTTTAGGGTCCCTGTGGTATCGATAATTACACTCACCCCCTGAAACATAGTTAGAAACTCTAATGGGTTAATGCATTGAATACGTTATTCCGATAGAGTTCTTACGGACTATTACTTTTAACTAATTGTGGAGTTGTTCGTGGAGAAAACGTAGAGTTAGGGGGTGACATGGCTCACCCAACATTCTTAAATCACCCATAACTCTTTGTTGTCTCTACCACTTTCTCAAACTAATAGTCCGTTAGAACTCTATCGGAATAACGTAACCAATGCATTATCCCATTGGAGTTTCTAACTATGTTTCAGGATGGTGAGCGTAATTATCAATACCACAGGGACCTTAAAGTTATTTAAGCTTACCTCAAGGGTGTGGGTGTAATTTACCCTTATTTTTTTATTCAAATATTGTAATGTTTCCACCCTGTTTTCTTATCCCAAAAATTAATTAATAATAAAAATTAGGTAAAGATACAACACATTGTAGTTCAAAATTGTGAATATTTGTAGTTCAATTGAATTTGGAAGTTTAAGGGTTCGGATCGTGTGATTTTGCAAAAAAATAAACAAAAAAAAAAAAAAAAAGTTTGTAATAAAGAGAAGGGAGAGAGAAAAGAGTTTTGGAAGAATTTCGAGAGAAAAATACTTTAAACTTGTGTGCATGATTCAGTAAATGTAGTGTGGGATTTGATATTTCAGTTTAAACAAATATAATTTGACTTTTAGCGAATATAATCGTATTAATGAAAATACAACCTTTTTTTTATTATTGAAAATAAAAGTTTAATTATATTAAATTCATCCTTCACAAATAGTAATACTATTTGGTTAATATGATTTTTTTTTATATATATATTTCACTATAACTTAGAGTGATTACG